AACACTCCCTAATGCATCATAACTGGTCTCGTTCGTAGGTGTCAGACGGGCAGGGACCAGCAGTGGAGCGAGGGGTCTCGGACATCATATAATATCTGTTCCCTGCTTTTCACCAACCCAAGTGAGTCAGCATGACCCAACGTGTGGTCACACCTCGGACTCGGAGGACACTTGCCTCTCAGAATAGCACATTTGTAATGTCATGGCAGGCGAGGCATGCTGCGGCGGTGCTGAGTGACCTGTACGCTTTTATTGCCCGACAACATGGCTGACCTTTTGAAGCCTCAGCAGGCCACAGTGTTGTGGAGCGCTTAAGAGCGTGTACCAGAAAAGAGCCTCCAAAAGAAAGTGAGGCGACGCAGATGATGTCCTTCCTGTCAGCAGAGAATATTAAAAGAATAGAAAACCTCACAATCACTTCAGTCAATCGTCAATCGTAGAGTTCGTTATTCACCACGAGGGTTTCTGCTTTAATTAGAGGAGCGAGCAGCTGTCTGCAGCTCAGTCCTGCTTAGCACACACACACGTTGCACACACTCTTTTCAAATCCAGCCATATCCTTTCCATTTCATACAGCAAAGTCCTCCATTTTCTTTCCGGTTTTTAAACCATGCTCATTTCAAACCGGGACAACAAAACAAAACATACAAGGATGTTTTAATCAACAACAAGAACAAAAAGTCTAATTTTGATCAGACTAAACAAACAAAAAAAAAACAGGCTGCATTTTCACTCAAACATGTTGTTTCTTTTCAAGTTTTCTCTTTTCACTTCTTTCTAGAATCAGCATTTTCCAACAAACCTTCATGACAAAACTGGAAAACTCAAAATTATTATTTTTCTCATTTGATGGGATTATTTTTTGACACAATGACAAATAAATGACTTGTTACAGCTATAATCTGCATCTCACTGGGCTGCAAATGTTGGCACTAGTTGACGAACTTCAGTAAGGAGTTGGGGGGTGGGTGTCTAAGTTTCTTTACATTAGTCCCAGAGGCTCACTGGCTTGTCAGTTGTTTTTCGTCCAAGTATTCATTTTTCTGATACGTTCGGCTGTAATTAGCTTCATGCTTAAAAGAACGGTCATGAGGCTCCATGATTTTGTGTGTGGCCAGAGGCAGGACCTAAAGCCCCACATCCCTGGTGACTGGTCCCAAAACAAACATCTGCTCTTATGAACTGATGGTCCCGCTGGTTTCAATCCCAAACACATGAGAAGAGGACCTAGTCTAGAATGATCATCCTTATCTGTGGATGTAAGATCATAATCATCTGACCTTAAAGAAAAAATGTGAAGGTTGTAGCCTTATCATATCATGTGTATCATGTATGTCACTACCTTACCATCATAATTCAATTACAGGTAATCTCAATGTTACTCACTACCTGTGCAATAAACTATCACACTACCTGTATTTCATGTTAGTACAATATATATAATTTAAGTTTATATTACCGCCTGTGAAATACTTACATGAATTCATCCTACTTGCACCGTTATATTCTACCATGTTGTTTACTATTCTTTTCTTTTGGACCTTGTAAATATTATATTTCTTTTTCACTTTCTGGTACTTTATTTTGTACCCTTATTGCATGCTTTGGTATTTCTTGCTTGTTTGTTTTTTTGTTTATAGCGAGTCGAATCGGTTCTTCTCATCCTGAACATTTCATTGCACTGCTGACCTTGAATTAACCTGCATATGACAAATAACATATCATAACATATCAAGAGGCACATCTGCACCCAAATGAACACGGTCCGCCTCACATTTACTCCCATTAATATTCAGTTTGTTCCTTCTGGGCTACTGTAGTAACACAGCAATGCAACCTGGCAGAAGGTTACGTCAAGGAGGGTAAAAAGTGTTGTTGGTTTGGAACAGAAATACAATAAATTCAATTTATATGGGATTCCAAATGAACAAAAAGCCCAATATAAAAGGTTGCATTTCCACCCACTGATTCCTCTAAATGTTACATGGAGCTTAGAAGATGATAGAAGAGATGGTGACAAGTGATCCAGAGACCTTCACCTGTCTTCTATCCCCTCCTCTTCACTTGCTGTGTCAGTTTCATCCTCTGTCCACCCCCACCCCCCTCCCCCGGCTCCTTAATCTTAAGGCAGCTGCCCCATGATGACAAGGTCACAGGTCACAGACTGCAGTCTCATCATCACGGTCGCATTATTGATCTCCCTGGGATCGATCTCTCTGTGTAGCTGCTTATTTCTGTTCCAGCGATGAAAGGAAGGAGGAGGAGGAGATTCTATAACCGGTTATGTAATTTGCAGGGATTTTTCACAAGGTAACACCATGTGGAGCTAAAGTCCTCGAGGAGTTTGAGGTTCGTTGCTTCAGTATTTCAGCGTTCCCTTTCTGTCTAAATCTGTCGTATCAGAGCGACGCATGTGCGGATCCGGCAGGAAGAGCTTTTTCTGAGAAACGAGAGGGGATGAAGGCTCCTGCGTAGCCAACGGGAAGCTGTGTGACGTCAGTAGCCATTCTCTGTTTGTGCCCACTTTTGTGTTACGTTACAGACACTCGCGGTTGGATGAAGCTGTGTATCCCCCCCTCCCCTTTTCCAGATGAATGCCTTGCCTAGATGCCTAGTTCTTGAGTGAGATAACCCTTTGGAGGAAGGCAGAGGTGGATTACATGGCTGCTGAGCCCAGAGTCACAGTCAGGGATCCAGTTAAAGAGGTGGGAAGGAAGGAGAATAAAAGAAACAAGAGAGGAGCTCTGTCTCCACTCTTCCTGTGTGGACACCCCCCCACCCCCCACCCCCACCCACTGAGGCTAATTGTTGGAGTTTCTCTTCATGTGGGAAACTCAAACCATTCTCTGCTTCTGATTACCCAAATAAACTCACATGAAATGTTTTTTATGTGTCAGGGGTCTGCACACTGCAGCTCTGGGGCCACATGTGACTCTTTGGTCCCTCTGCAGCGGCTCTTTCAGGCTTTGACCAAAACTAAAATAAAGCTGAATTTTATTTAAATTATTACCAACAATAAAAATGGCTACATTCAGCAGACTTCCTGTCATTTTCAAACATGTGAAGAATAGTACAAATATACGACATAAAACATGTGGACTGCGTCATGCTAGTAGTTTGTTAGCCACTTTATTAAGTCGACTTCCTGTCTCTCAGCGTCATTCTCTCAAAACCACCAGAAAGTTTTGGAATATCTTTAAGACAAGTTGCTGAGAAGGAATATTTGATGACTCAAAGAATAAAACACAAAAAACAAAGTCCAAGTACACAAAAGTATTTATTTTTCTTTATGTAACTGGATATCCATCAAACTGGCCTAACTTTATACTGTCTTTAACTTTATTCTATAAGTAGGACATTTAAATCGTCAACAATTAAGAGAACTCACATTGGTCTGCAGAGTTCAGTGTTTAAATTTTTATAAAATTGTTAAAAAATTACATATTTTTTTCTCTTTACATTAATCTGATCTTTTCTTTTGTATTAAAATGTAAAATCATCAATAAATGTTAATACTAGTTAGACATTTTTCGTTTTATAATATCACCCCCACTGGTTGGAAAAGCCATCTCCAACAAACTTGTAGTGGCCCATGAGCCACCAGTTGACAAGTTGTAGCAGGTTTTGCAGCTCTGGACATCATAATTAAGCAAAGTGGCAGAAATAGCTCTTTTTATCACAAAGGGTTGCAGACCCTGGTTTAGCTGCTGCAGCTGACTGAGTGCAGCCAGTTTTGTAAGGTGAATATCTATCAGCAGCTACAGGTATTTTACTGTAAATTATACAATTTTTACCGCACTGACATATGTTGTTCTGGTGTTTATGGTGAAAATCGAGCCACAGCAGTTGCCAGTAAATTACTGTAAATTTGAAGTTTCGAAACAACATAAAAAAAACTTCTTAGCTGTGAAACGTATAATTTCCAAAATTATACATTCAATGCTGTTACACATTGTCCTCGTATTATTATTTTTAATGAAAAATGCTGAAATTCTAGTGGGCAGCACGGTGGTGCAGAGCTGCTGCCTCTCAGCGAGCAGGTCTCCGGTTCAAATCCCGGTCCAGAGGCCTTTCTGGGTGGAGTTTGCATGTTCTCTCTGTGCACGCATGGGTTTTCTCTGGGTTCTCAGACACGCTGCAAACACCATCAACAGAAGGCCAGTTTGGATCAATTCCTGCCGTTTGTATGCTCTTATTTACGTTTTTGAGACAGAGAAACTATTCATGATTCACCTCCATCCTGACCCTGAGTGTCCCTGCAGCCACTTTGAAGATCTGTCACATGCATCCATAGATGGTGCTCTTGTACTGGACTCATGAGGAGCATGAGGAGCGAAACGTCTTCTGTTACAAATAAAGTCCAGTTGTTTTTGTACTGAACGTTTTTTTAATTTATCATGTCCGAGAATCTTCACCAGCATCTTGTACTGGACGTTAAACTTTTCCCTAATCTGTCCTCTCCAAGACGCTCACTAATGTGCACCATTACCCCCCAGAGCTGTGTGATTAGACTTTTAAAAATAAATTGCTTACGTCACGCGATTAGCAGGAGGAAGATCGTTTACGTAGACCATGAAGATGATGAAGAAGATGAAGAGCCTTTGAGAGAAAGGGGCCAGTTCGTGTCCGTTTTGGAGAGATTTGAGCACAAGTTTGTTTTGGGCAACAAATATATGACTTGAGCTAGCCTCACACACACATTCTACGTATTACACACAGAACACACGCGCGCTCGCGCAGCAGCGCTTGGTGCGCGCAGCTGCGAGTGTGCGTCCGAGTGCGCCAGTGAGTGTGTGTTTTGAATTCAAATGTTGCAGCAGCAACATGCACCAGAGCTGCAAATGCGGATTCTGAGCACGGCGATGTGTTTGGAGGGTGGAGATAAGTGTCCCGCATCAGATGCACAAGCCGTGCCGAGCCGAGCCAAAAAACAAAAACAAACACGAATGTATCAAATAAAAATTAAACGTCCAACGTGAAGCTGGTAACGATCCACCTACCATGTTGACTTCAGACACCATGTCTATGCTGGAGATGTCTATATTCATTCCCACCTTCACGGGAGCACCTGCCGAGGAGAGGAGAGACATGAATAATTCTGCCATCATGTAAATTTAACAGATCCGTGAAGCCAGCCCCTCCAGGAGACTGGTGCAGCATCAGCACCACCATCATCATCCTGAACAAAATCAAGACGTTTGACACCCGCCGTCATGTTAAACGCTGTTAATTGCGTTTATTTAGCGGAGTAATCAAACATTGATGAGCGGTATCGATCACGTTAACAGCCTCTCATCAAAGAGGAATCTGCTCATCATTTCTCTCCAGCCCATAATTGGCAATTTGACTCTGAAGGGATGATTAGACGATGGAAATTAAAGCAGATTTTGCGATTCATTAAACATGTAAGGCACGTCAGGAGGGCGTGAAAACATGACATCCTTTTTTTTTTTTTTTTTTACCTCCGAAATCTGGCCTCAACCGAATGTCGTATCCTTTCATCAGCCTGTCCACTGTTTCTTTCACCAGAGGCATATTGCTCGGATCTTTGATATCCTTCACGCTGGAGATGAAAAAGGAGAGACTGGTTAATATATCACAGGATATATAAATAAATATATAACACATGCAATACGCAAAAAGCGCAGAATGCAAATCAGATTTACTTTTGAGTCCAGACTAAAGTCACCATGAGGGAAAAAGTCAAAATCCCAAAGTGGTTTTTCCTGGTCCTCCCCATCGCAACAGTTTTTTCAGGTGGCTTCTGGATGCGGATGAGGAGAGCGCACATCCAACTTACTCCAGACCGTGCAGAGGAGCCAATGAGGCGCGCATGCGCACAAGCGGCCCCCAGATCAAAGCGCGGAGAGAGAGATGATGGTGGATGAGCAGTTTCATTGCAGAGGAAAGCGTTAAAGGGACAAGTAATGACAGCGACGAGCGTAATGAGAAATAAAACAACATTAAGACTTTTTTTTATTGGTGTTTATAATAAAAAGAGTAATTTTGTTTTGTATTTAGAAATCCTAAATTAGCATAAGAATTCAGAAATAACACATATTTGCTTAAATAGGTTTTAATTAAGCAGAAATTAACACAAAAATGAGCTAAAAACCTAAAATGAGTAAAAAACAGTAGCTAAAAATGTAGAAAGACATTTAAATTACAAGAAGGAAGTGGAGAGAGCACGTTTGCTGAATGAGCAAGAAAAAAAGTTGAATTTTTTTTCCTGACAGGAGGGCAGAATCTGGGCAAGGCAAATGGGAGGAACCCGTTTTTGAAACAGGACAGATCAGGAAAAAAACACTGAATTACTGAGTTATTGAATTAAGTAGGCAGAAAAAAATTGAAATTTGTCCAAAAATGTGGAACTAACTGAAAAAAGATAAAATTAACATAAAAAAAAACCTGCTAAAAAAAAAAGTATCTGAAATAGTAGAAAAAGCAGAGAATTGCTGTAATAAGCTGTAAACCAAGGCATAAAAGGCTAAATACCTATTTGAAAAAAGAAAAAAAAACTTGCACCAAAAGTCATATCACCGTTCCGAACGAATTGAACATTTTGAGATATAACATCATAAAAATTGTGGAACAAGAAAAATGTCCAAAAATGTACAGAAGAAAAATTGATTACAATGAAGCAATGCTCCTAGGAGCATTCAGGCACACAAACTCCTCCACCACAATAAAGTGGAGATTCAAGGAGGAGATTATTATTTTTTTTTTTATTTTTTTTTTTTTTAGAATAATGTAAGTGACACATATCCATGGCTTCTGAAGGCTGAGGCTTGGCTTTTGCCGTAGCTGATGCAATGGCTGAAGCTGTAGATAATTAGCTTAGTTCCAAGATCAGACAAGGATTAGGCCAAGCTTAAGCCAGTGGACAGCCACCACTGAGAAAACCTAATAAATAAATACATAAAGTATCCATGGCTCTGGGCTGTCGCTTCATGGCTGAGGCTTGGCTTTGGCCCGAGCAGATGCAATGGCTGAAGCTGTGGATAGTCAGCTTAGTCTCATGCTCAGACGAGGATTAGGCCAAGCTTAGGCCAGAGGACAGCCACCACTGAGACCATACTTAATAAATAAATACATAAAATATCCAAGGCACTGGGCTGTCACTTCAAATGGCTGAGGCTGTGGTTAATCAACTTAGTTCCATGCTCAGACAAGGATTAGTCCAAGCTTAGGCCAGATGACAGTCGTCAATGAGACGATTCTTAATAAATAAATACAGAAAATATCCATATCTCTGGGATGCCGCTTCCAATGGCTGAGGCTTGGCTTTGGCCATAGCTTATGCAATGGCTGAGGCTGTGGATAATAAGCTTAGTTCCAGGTTCAGACGAGGATTAGGCCAAGCTTAGGCCAGAGGACAGCAACCACTGAGACCATACTTAACAGATAAATACATTAAAAAATCCATGGCTCTGGGCTGTCGCTTCAGATGGCTGAGGCTTGGCTTTGGCCGTAGCTGACGCAATGGCTGAGGCTGTGGATAATCAGCTTAGTTCCATGCTCAGACGAGGATTAGGCCAAGCTTAGGCCAGAGGAGAGCCACCACTGAGACCATACTTAATAAATAAATAAATACATAAAATATCCATGGCACTTGGCTGTCACTTCAAATGGCTGAGGCTTGGATTTGGCCGTAGCTGATGCAATGGCTGAGGCTATGGATAATCAGCTTATTTCCATGCTCAGACGAGGATTAGGCCAAGCTTAGGCCAGAGGACAGCCACCACTGAGACCATACTTAACAAATAAATACATAAAATATCCATGGCTCTGGGCTGTCGCTTCAGATGGCTGAGGCTTGGCTTTGGCCGTAGCTGATG